GAGGTCAATATGGGAAGGTGATCAGGAACTAGTGAAAAGGTCAGGTAGAGATGAATCAGTTTTGGTTGTAATACACTTGTGCATGGAAGTAATGCTAGGAATCTCTCTGTATAGTTATCCTTATCTCAACTAGCAAAAATGCTTTGTCTCTCTTATTATTGTTTATGTCTTCTCTTCAACAAAAGTGGGGAAAAGGGCAGAACAGGTTCTGCCTGGAAGTGGGGTGCAGAGGAGAGAAATGGCTCAAACATAGGAATAAATGAATTAAAAAAACTGAAAAAAACCCAAAACAAACCAAAAAATCCAAACAAACAAAAAAAGAAGTTTAATCTGCAATGAAGTTGGACTTAGAAAATGTACTTCACCTAAAGTTAAAGATTACTTGGCTGTCACAGCATAATAAAAACATGACTGGAAAATCCAGAATTTCAGATATTCTAATTATGTTTTATTCTATAGACTTTTTGCAGAATTATTTCTACATGGCTTGATTGACTAATGTTTTAGAAATGGCACTTATAAATCATAATAAACTGTTCATAATTTTAAAAAGATGAGCACTACTTTCAAACAGGTAACCGAATACTTTTGTACACATGCAGAAGTAGAGGGAAGGAAAAAAGAGAATTCTAAATCAGTGGAAGGAAGGAGATAATGGGAAATGAGCCTGAAGCCTGATCTATGTGTGATTGGAATGTGTCAATATGAAATACTTTTACTGGAATGAACCAGAAGTGTAGACTAACAGAGCCTTAAGTGATAGGGCTTTGCTTTCTTAAAATGCTCAGAAATATGAGCGCCACTTATTGGCATCGATTCATTGGCTCAAGAATGTCATCTAGCAAGCAAGCTTTTTTTCTGACACCTTTAACATGATAGTTTTTCATCTTTATACTTCTCACTTCATAGTTACAAGATTTCTGCCCCATGAACAAATACTAGTGTCCTAAACAAGAGATTTATAAAAGGAGGGAAAGGTTTTCCTGAGTTTCCTAAATTTTCTGTTATATCTTATTTGCACAAACTGGATTGCATGGCTACTCTCAGAAGACTGGCTGGAAAAGTACCTGGATAAGTAGAAAAACATGACATGAAAGGCCTAGAACAGTATGACCCACTTCCTGGGGAGTGCTGCTGTCCTGACATGGACAATTAAAGAGCCCTTTGGTGAGAATTAACAACAACTACAATTACAGTTTTTAACTTTATTCCAATTATAAAAGAAGAGTTCTGGGGGGAGGGGTTACCCAGATGATTCAATTATACCTCCAGTTTCCTAGATTCATTTATCCACCCCTCTTGGGGCCAAGAGAGCCTCTTGCTATCCATTCACAATGACAGGTTTTCAAAAACTTTAGACTCAGATTTCAATGCACCTGAATTTCTTCCTTTATCTTTGTGGATTTTTACCTATATTATGAATTTCAAAAGGAGGAAACTTAAAACTATTCATATAAAAACTCTCTTAATACACTTACTATACTTTCAACTTAATGAGGAAATAACTGCTGTCGTTTCTTAAGCATCAGAAGGCCAGTCAATCATCCATGCCACACACACTGAAGAAAAAGATGGAGCAGAATATCTTGTTAATAAATCCCTAATTGGAGAACTGGCCTCTAGTCAGTTTTATAATAATGGTCAGAGACATGACCACTACTTCAATAATTCTGTGAAATCTCCCCCTTCCTCTCCTATCACAGACTCTGTCTCTTCACCAGGCCAAGTTTGGAAGTCTATACCTGTATCAGATGTCAATTGGTTCATGACCCTAAGCATTCCCACTCTGACTGGATCCCTGTGGCTTACCTCTGAGGGATAAGGGGGAAAGAGGAAGTGCCCCTGTCTTACAATAGGCTCAACATCCTTCAGGCTCTTACCTAACCAGGAGTTAAACTGATGCTTATCTCTGTTGCTCACCTTCAACTTTCTCTGAAAGAAATAGAAGAAAAACTACCTTTTTTTCTTCTTCAAGAAATCAAGCTAGAGAAACAAATAGGAGAGCACATGCTTGGGACTGTAAAGAAAGAAACAGGAGGGTTAAAAAAAGGCTTGAAATACATGTTTCTAGTGATTTCTCACCCCGTCCCAAAATAACCAATCATATGATGTACATTATGCTTTAAACCTTTTAGAACCTTTGGTACTGATCCATTTCTATAGTCTCAAGGTCTTCTGAGAAGAAAATTCACTTGAGAGGCTCATTAATGACTGAGGAAAGTTTAATAGATGCTGAGGAAAGAGGTCTCAGAAAGCAACTGGTCCAAATTAAGGGAGGGAGAGACGTAGCAGTGTGGGGAGACTGTCTACAATGTAGGCCCACTTCGTGGAGATCGGGACCTCTTAAGCCACAGTAGGAAGACCTTTTGTACAGCTATCACACATTCCAGAATCAGGTGATGTTACAGGCTTGTTAAGAAGAGATTTTTCTGGATTTAAAGGCCTCAGGTACATAGAAACATCTCTTTCCACATTTGTGCAATTATCCTCTTTACCATCCTGCCTAAGAAATGCAGAACTATATCAAAATCACTGTCCCTAGAAATGTTTTAAAAATTCCATTTTTATAATCCCTCCAGAGTTCTCCACTTGCCCAACTGGCATCAAAAGTTGCACTAGAGTCCTTGAGTCCAAGGAACACAAAGCAACACCAAAAAGCAGAAAGACAAAGGACAATGACAAGTCAGGCATAATGACTACAAGGTTCACTGAGCTGGGGACACACCTCACTGGTAGAATGCTTGCCTAGCATGGGCAAAGCCCTAGGTTCAATACCCAGAACTGAAGGTTGGGAAAGAGAAGAAAGGAGACAACTGGGACAAGGAGAGAAAGATAGAGGAAGAAAAAGAGAGAGGAGAGAGAAGGGAGGGAGGGAGGGAGGAAAAGAGAGAAGGGAGGGTGGAAGAGAGAGAGAGAGAGAGAGAGAGAGAGAGAGAGAGCAGAAGAGCAAGAGAACAATTTCCTAAAGACTAGCTATGATTTCTTTCCTCCAATTAAAAGTCAGTCATTTTCTCTCAATGGAAAATAGCACACATTCTTACCACAGCTCTAAGCTGAAGGCCACTCAGTGCCCTGCTGCAGTCCTAGGACACATAACTTCTCATGGACAACCTCCTGCACACCTCTGCTTTTTAGAAGCCATACACCCTTGTCAATATCATTTCTTCATCAAAACCCTTTCATAACTCCAGAGTTATGACAAAGCCACCTGAGGCTGCAACGACACAGTCTTGGAATCCAAGACAACACCTAGTGTCAGGATCATTTCAGTACCTGACCCTTCTTTCCTTGGCAATCCCACAGGAAGAAATTACAGAGGTAGCACCAACAGTGAAGGGTTATCACAAGGAAGGCACATGGCCAAGGCAACTCTAAGAACAGTCTGCTATGCCTCCACAATTAAGGTAACCTTATTCTCATCACCTTCACAGCCAGCCTCACAGAAATTACTCACTTCTTATTATATTTTCTTGGTCACTCATTTTCAGTTATCTAAATTCTCTACCAAATTGAAAATGAATGCTGAGGAGGTAAGGGGCAATACATCAAGGTGTTAGAGAAGATAAGATTAATCACATATCTTAACAAGGGTACAGTTAAAAAAGGAATGTTTTAACCTTTATGGAGCAAAGAAGAACTTCATAGCTGTATCAATTAATTCTCTTTAGACAAACAAAAATAAGTAACAGGCAGAATTCACAGAATCTCATGATTGATGGCTTTTCTATTCCAAAAGGAACAATAACACTTGGGTCTCTGCTTCCAGGGCCAACTCTCCTCATGCCCTGCCAAAAGGCTACTCAAGCACCACCCATAGGAGAGACTGTGACAGACAAGTGGATTAAGCTCCTTAAGAATTAAAGACACTGGTTTTCATTACCTATGCATTGGCAAAGGGTACAGAAACTTGGGATATGATACAATAAAGGCACTTCTGTTAGCATTACCAACTAAATCAAATGTTAGCTTCAACACAATCTACAAAGAGATACATATTCGAGTGCAATAAAATAAATAAAATACTATATGACAAATGCCCAATATGGGTTCCATCACAAAAGACATGTTCATTGTAGATTAAAGTGAGAGCAAAGAACAAAAAGATAAAATGGAAATTAAATAACAACTGACTAAACAATAACAAGTGAAGGCACAAAATAAAGCAGGTATCAATTGAGTAACAACCATGTTTATAGATCATGAAAAAAGTAAAGAGAAGCAAATACAGAATTTATAAAAAAAGGACAATAGAACCAAAAATGAAATCTCAGAAATGAGTAATAGAATAGACACAAATATTACCTGATGAAAAATTAGTAAGACTCTATGATTCAACCTCAATTTTCACTTGGTTGGACCTAGCTCTAGGATTTTATTAACATAGGAAGTGGAGATGAGATGACTATAATACTACTGCTCTAAATGCACTGTTTTTTATTCCACGTAAAGATGCTGGAAAGGCTAATGGGGGCTATTATTATTATTTGCTACAATCAGTTTTGACAAAAACTTCCCATGGAAATAACTGCTTCAGAATTTAAATGAACTAAAAGAGACATGTTTTGGAAAGGAGAGCTCTATTTGACTTTACCATGTCAAGAAGTTGTCAATCAGAACCTGGTTGGTTAGAGGTAGAAAGATACTCATTTTGATAGACTTCAGGAACACAAAGTGTCTTCCAGCCTGTTGGAACAAGTAGACTTTGCAGGCAGTCCTAAGGAAGTCAGACTGGACTTCTCAACTTGTCACTGCAAATCAGTTAACCATTCAAGCTATATATCCACCATTGTATTCTGCTTCATGATGGCTATTTCACTTTACATTTTATATAAAAGAAAACATGACTGCAATTTGCTTTAAAAATTCCATAGAAATGCACCTTTTTGACAAGCAAAGTTTTACTAAATAATCTCAGCAAATTTCAATAGAATTTATTTTTCAGTATCACAGTCTTTCAATGTCAATGAAAATAATAACTTATGGATTACAATGTATCTTTAACCTGACAAGAAAACTGTATAAACATAAATTCTAAATAGAGAAAATGAGGTGCAGGTAGCCATGCTTTCTCAGTGCTTTAATACTTCATTAAAAAAATAAACACAGTACTAATCATCATTTTGATCCCAGTGAACAAAAACTTAAAACTACATTTATTAATCAGTGTTGAAGTCTAAAACCAAAATGATCCTTTAACAGTATGGCCAAATGGACAAATCCACTCTAAGTTAATCACAATGCAAAATTTTGACCAAATTAAAGTGGCTCTCTTTGTTACCACAGCACTAGAGTCTGTCTTTTTGTTGGGTTTCAATGTGTCGTAACAACCAAGGATAGGATTACAAATAAACAGACGTATACAAGGCTTGATGAAATTAAATATGAAGGATTAAGCATTTTTAACTTCTAGGTTACAATTCTGCTGTAACACAAGTTCTACTGCATCATTTACAATGGCCTAAAAACATTTTAGCAATGAGATCATATTTTTTTAAATGCCATTGTTCCTATATGTTACATTAACTGAGGACATCGCAACCGCTTAAGCCTTTTATTAGCTTAAAAATGCATAACTTTTCCCTGATATACTCTAATGACTATATTTCAATCAGCAGTCTGAACTACTTTCATAATCAGCAATGACTATATTTTGCCACTTCTTAACTCCAGAGTGAAAAGGACGGATGACAAAGACTTCTGAAAAGGAAGCATGAGAGCATGAATCCAGTTAGTAATGAAACAGACTCTTTAACAACTGCTGGGTTTTTGTATTCAGTTGTAAATTATGTAGATGAAACAGTTGAGAAGGAACAAACTATCAAACTTGCCAAAACTTTTTTGTTCCATTGTATTTTGATCCCTTCTTAGACAACCACAGTACACAAACTGTGCTACAAAGAAGTCAGTCCTTCTAAGTGAAAACAAATGTCCTATACTTATAGGAAGCCTAAGTGATTTGTTTTCAAATATTTGATTTTAAATAGTCAAGTATAATGCTACTGTAAAAGATTTCAACTGTAGCAGATGTGTTAATTTTCATTTGTTCCTAACCTGCCACAAGAATGTAAGTTCACCGGACTGCCAAATAGCCCATCTGGTCACTGAGAAAGACAGTGTCATCAGCTGAATAAAAGAGCATTCACACCACTAGGACATTGACCCAAATGGTTTAAGAACCATCTTTGCATCCCTGATGTAAGAATGGCCGCTTTCTCCATGTTGCTCTACACTGAGCAGCATTGTCTGTGGAGAGGTCCTTTAAATCTATAACATTCCATACTACAGATACCCATTCAAAAGTTAAAAAAATACAGACCAAATCCATGTACCCGTGATCCTTTGTAAATCCTAAACTATAGAAATATTCTTAGTTTTAACCAAGAATATATTGGAATGAACTAAAGACATCTTTTTAAGTAATTTTACTCTTGTTATTTCATTTCTATATAGATTATTCAATATTGTTTGTGGACATAATTTAATCAATAATATATCATAATGTCAACCACTACAGAGATCCAGAATCAGATTCTGGCTACAGAGGAAGCTTAATTATTAAGCAACACCTGTCTAAAAAGCTTCTGTATTTCTGATTGATAAGGAAAAAAAAAAAAGCATCTCTCATTGAAATAACACTGAAGTTGGAGCTCGGGCCTCCTTCTTTGTGTTGAACATAATAACCCTTCAGGATAAAAATGATGAAACAGACAGTCACATTAACAATTTACAGTCATCTTCAAGAAAACTCTATGGGCAACTCTGGTGTTACAACTGTGTATCTTGGATCCAATCTAGGGATGAAATCCTGAAATTCCTTAGATGCACCAGTACCAAACACATCCAGGGCTTTTCGGTTCATGACAGCAAATCTGTAAAACAGAAGATATAATGAAACAATATTTAACAAAGTTTACAAAATAAAATGACTCTATTTGACTTAGTTTTCAGGGAAGTGGAAAACAGAAATGGTAGACATGGATAAAGACCTAAACCCAGTAGCAGATTCAAAAGTCAAATGGGTAATTCATAGTCTAAGATTCACTGCTCAGTATTTAATTTAAGGCAATAATCTCCAGACCTGAAAGCACAGATTTCAATCATTTCAAATGCTTCCAGAGTTCCTTTCAATAGAGTGCTTCACATAGAAAATTTGGCTTATTGCTATTTTTCTAATGACTGAAATCATAGGAAACTAAGTAAACTGAATGAGCTAACATTTTCCAATGAGGCAAAGGTATTAAATGTAATTTCTCTCTCAACGAAGATCTTAATGCCTCACAGTCAAAAGAAAACACATCCACATATGCAAATATTTAATGACTGAAAAGCAAACATCATACAGATTCTCAGCTTACTAGTGGACACAACAGAATACAACTGTACCTAATGTTAGTCATCATCTAACCTAAGAGATATAAAAAATTTTAGATTATTTTCAATAGACATGTGTTGTCTTTTTTTGTTGTTTGTTTTTTTGGCAGTACTGAGGTTTGAAATCAGAGCCTCATACTTTCTAGGCAGGTGCTCATTTGAATCAGTCCACCAACCTGTAAATTTTTAAAAGACACATATTTAGCTAATGTAAAGGATGGACCTTTTGTGGCTCTGTGCCTATTCGTAAGCATTTCCTTTCCGAAGAGGACGGAAGAATGAACTTATGTTTTGAATCATTGACCAGGGTCAATATTCCAAGAACAAATAAATGTGACTTGTAGTTCTTTCATAAAGTAAGTTCCCTTCCAAAACAATCAACTTGTAAAGTCATTAATGTACAGAAATCTAAATGACAAAAATGGGTGAAAATATAATAATATGAAGGATACAACTGTCATGACTAAGAGGAAGAATTCTGAAGCTGCACTGCCTGGCTTATCCCAGCTCCTTCATTTACTAGTTGTGTTACCCTGGCAAGCTATCTAACTTCTCTGTGATTCTGTTTCCTCGTATGTAAAACAAGGATGATAATAGTACCTATCTCATGAAGATATTTTAAGGATTAAATATACATGTATCATATGCATGCCTCTTAAACCATACCTGGGACATTTGCTATTATTATAAACATTTGCTACTGTTATTATTGTATGCTATTGTTAAATATTGCTATTATTTTAAACAATAATATGATTTGTCCTTCAAAGATTCAAGTACTAGAAACTTGGTTGCACTGTGGCAGTGACGAGAAGGTGGAACCTTTAAGATGTGGAACCTAGTGGAAAGTAAGTCATGAGGGCTCCACCCTCATGAGTTGATTAATTCTAGCCTTACATAGTGGGTTGGATCATTGATTAGTTCCCGTGAGAGCACATTTGTATAAAGTAAAGCCACATTACATGCTTGGCCCCTTCTGCATGTAGCCAGTTCCACTTCTGCTTCTGTGCCAAGCTGTGACACAGCCAGAGGGCCTCTACCATAACATTAGTGACATGCTATTTGAACCTTCCAGATACAAGAATCAAGAGACAAATAAAGCTCTTGTATAAGCCTCTTTTATGACCTCTTCATAGCAGGTATTCTCTTATAGCAATACAAAGAAGACTAAGGTAGTATGTGATATTATTTCATTCCAGAGAGAAAGAAACTTAGGCTTAGGAGAGTAAATATACTTCCCACAGTAAACCTGAATGTACTAGAGCTGCAGTCAAACTTAGGTCTATCTGACTCCAAAGTCCATGTACTTACTATTAAGCCAAGCTGTCTTCCAAAGAATTAGATTAAGATTAAAAAAGAGAGGGTGGAAGAGAGGGAAAAAAGAACATGATAGGAAAAGCAGAGGAAAGTACACTTAACAACTTAACAATGTCAGTTATTTTTCCACAACTGAAGTCATTTAATTGTGCAGAGATGAACCATTTTAATGAATCTGTTATACATACTTCCATTGCTAGGAGACAAACTCAGGACGTTGCACGTGCTAGGCAAGTGCTCTGCCACTGAACTATATCCCTGGTCTGAATTTCTTTAATTAAAAAGAAGAAATCAAAGATTCAAAAAGGTGGGCTTAAGTGTTTATGGAGCAACTAGTTAGTTGATATTAATGATATTAATCTAGAACATTTAAAATACCTAAAATGTTATAAGGAAAGAAGTCAGAATAATGGTCACTCAAAGAATGTCCCATACATTCCTTATTACGTTAGCCATATTAGTTTATATATAAATACCTACTTTACAAAACTGGAAGAAGACTCTCTCAAAGAACAAAAAGATTCATAATCTTTTTATAGAAGTTGCTCTTTAGCAAGCATTTAAAGCATATCAGTCACTTACCTGCCCTTGGTGAGCCTTAAAAGGAACTTCCAGTAAGATGGTCTCAAGTTCTGAACTTCCATGACAGCCTGAGATTATTCAATGTGAAATTTCTTTTAGTAAATACAAATATTATCTGCACTCCTAAGAAATAATATAATTTTATCTTTCTTTGTTGCTTACTGTATTTTATGAATGAAAGTGAAAAACATGCATTTATGTTACTTCAGTATCAAGAATCTTTGTAAACATGCTTTCAAATAGAAATGCTCCTTTTGAAATAATAATTGAGTGAAGAGTTACTTTTATCAAGAAGCATTCACTGAGGATCAGGGTCTTGGGGAAGGGGCAGCAGGCACCATGTCCGGCCACAAAGGTGGCAAGAAGAAGCCCCTGAAACAGCCCAAGAAGAAGGCCAAGGAGATGGATGAGGAAGATAAGGCTTTCAAGCAGAAACAAAAAGAGGAGCAGAAGAAACTCAAGGAGCTAAAAGCGAATGCCCCGGGGAAGGGGCCCCTGGCCACAGGTGGAATTAAGAAATCTGGCAAAAAGTAAACTGATCTTGTGCCGAGATGATGGTGACCCTGATTCCATTCCTATTTAAACATCTGGATTTCCTGCCTTTTGCCATCTGTGGTCAGAATGAAGTGTTGTATTGGAGTCTGTTGTACATTTAAGAATAAACAACTTTTGTTAAAAAAAAAATCATAGTTTCAGTGGCTCATTGTCAGCCATTTGTACCTCAGCTGTGAATTTAAAATAAACCCAGCCTAGAATCCTGCCAAAAAAAATAAAAAGCAGTATTTACTGAGTACCCACAGAATAGCTGACACTTCATTGATTTTCTGACAGCATTTCTATGAGAAAGAATAAATAAAAGCTCTCCCCAAAACTTTACAATGGCCTTTAAACTACTACATCAATAATGATGGTTATAGAATTTAAACAGGTTAAACACTGCTTCTAAGAAACCTTTCTTCCCCATCCTCATTCCCTAAAGAATGTTAGGGAAATGTAATCTTTCATATTTATCCCCATGGAATGTTTTCTCTATGGAGGGTAATTAAATTGGGGCATTCTACCTGTGGTACTGGAGTAAGGATTGTACTCTACTTAACTATAAAAATGGGTCTGCTCATAAAACGGGCCTGGTCCATTAAGTTAACAAATTTGATGATTTGAAACGTGTAAGCTATTTTGCTGGAAAAACAAAAAACAACAAACAAAAAAAACATAAAATGTAATAAACAGAAATGTGTCCTGGCTTTCCCCCACATTGGCTTAATGTAAACGTGACAATTCTATTTCTCATTTCAACAACTATACTTACTGCATGGAAACAAATTGCTGTGGAGATGGAATAGATGATAGTATCCGCCTGAGGGAAATATGGAACCTTCCCTGCTTCAATGCCTTTGAAATACATTGTCTGTAAAACAAGCATAATGCAAGTTAACAGAGAGAACATTAAATAGCATTAACAATGCAGCACAGCTCCCTACCTGCAACTGTATTTCTACTGCTTTTATGTCATTTATTCACCAATGCTTTTCATTAAAGCACAAGTCCTCCCTCCCTTCCTCCCTCCTTCCCTTCCTTCCTTTCTCCCTCCCTCCCTCTCTCCATTTCTCCCTTCCCTCCCTCTTTGCCTCCCTCCCTTTCAGGAGTAAGAAATTTACAAATGAACAAATCATAATGCATAATACATGGCAGGTATCACTGATACACTTGATGAGAGGTAAAAGTATAAATGCTAAGTAAAATAGTTCTTCCTTGATACATGAAATAATTGTGTTCCTAAATATTTCTTATAATAAAACTTCTCTATTGAATGAGATTCTAAGTTAATGAAGGGCAAGAACCCTATCCAATACGTTTATATTTTCACCAGCACCTAGCACAGTAATGGGAGCATAATAAATACATGCATTTTACTCCCAAGAGAAAATTTGTCTGTATGTGCTACTGTTTGGATCTGGAATGTCCCCCAGAGTCTGAAGTATTAAAGGCTTATGCCCACAGTTGTGTTACTGGGAGGTGGTAGACCCTCTAAGAGGTAGGGTCTAGTGGGAAGTCTTCTGGTCATTTGGAGGCATGCCCTTGAAGGAAATATTGGCACTTCTGCCCCTTCCTCCCTCTCTTGTTCATTCTCAGCTAGGAGATGAATGGCTTTGTTCCACCATATACTACCTGCCATGACGTGCAGACCCAGGGAGCCACAGCTCCAAAACAACAGTCACTGACCGTGCACTGAAATTTCTAAAACTATGTGCCAGAATAAACTTTCTTCTCTTTGTAAGTTTACTGGTCTTGGGTATGTGTTATAGTAACAGAAAGCTGACTTACACAATGTAGCTTATTATATAATTTTTACCATACAGTAATATAGCATTTTAACAAAATTGGCTTTCATCATAGCAAAATGATTATCAATTATAACATTTTAATTAGTTTCACAAAGGTCATGCTAAGCTTAAATTTCTAATTCTCCTTACTAAAAAAATTCTCATCAGCACACTTTATATTCCAATTGATTTTGACAAGATCACATGTGACCTGATGATAAAGAATGAGGGAATAATCATTGCTTGGCTTAAAAAACCCTAGCTGCTTAAGGATGCAGCTGTAAAACATCTTTTACAAACTATATCTCAATATTGGTTTCCTTAGAGAAGCTACGTAGGGGATATATATTTTGTTACCAAGGGGATATTTCCTGTTTTTCACTCCTCTTTTCCTCTCTGTTAGCAAGAACTATCAGCTCTACTCCTAAACATAAACCAAATCTGTGTAATTCTACCTCTACTGCTACTATCCTGGAATAAGCCAGCATCTTCTGCCAGACACTATGTTTTATCAGCTTCCAATCTTGCCTCCCTTTAATATACTCTCTTTAGAATAGCCAGAATGTTCCTCTTAAAATATGAATTAAATGATGTCATTTCATGCTTAGAACTCTTCAGGAGCTTCCAAATGCATTGAGGAAAAAAACCCAAACTTTTCTTTACCCCAGCTTTCAAAATCCTATATGATCTGGATTCTGCCTGTCTCTGTCTTCCTGATTTCATTACGTATACATTCTTTTAACCTCTCAGTCTCTCTCTGTCTCTCTGTCTCTCTCTCTTTCTCTCTCTCTCTCTCTCTCTCACACACACACACACACACACACACACACACGGGAAAAGCAAATATGCAATCTCTTAATGTCATTAGAGACATATTTTCAGTTAAAAAATTTAAAAACATGAACATGTTAAATAAAATCTATAATATTAACTTTGAACTGGAAATACCAATATGCTCAAAATGTATTTTCTCTCTCTAAAAAGAAAGGCAGAAAATGGATTCTTTAGCTCTATTCACTGGGAAGGCCAAGAAACAATGGCCAGCCTGGGAACAAAATATACTAACTAACATTCAGACTCTGTCACTTTCCACTAACAGAAGCTAGAAGCCATTGGAGAAAAAGCTAATTCTATGTCTAGAGAAGAAAATGGCCCAGATGAGCTTGGAATATCTTGCCTTATACCAAAAAAGGTATCAAAGATAAATGGCATACGTCAAAACAAACAAGTGTCAACTTAAAAGTGGCTGGCATGAGTAAAGATGAAAACACTGAGCATAATGAATGCAATTGGTTAAAAATCAATCAGATATGTTAAAATCCATGCCTTTATAATGATACTTGAAAATAATGACTTATGCTAATTTTGTGCAATGCTAAGTAAGGTACTAATCATTCTGAACACTGGTTACTAAAAAGAAGTAATTTAACATTTTATATTGATTTTCCTTAACAAATTATTTCAAAATAACCAAATACATGAAAAGGGAACTATTTCCTTAGAAATATTCTAGCTAATTAGTGCAGAAGAACAATACATAGTAGATTACTACCATTCTTCAACTCTTAATGAAATAGTTATAATGCCTGCTAAAACTCTTAGGTAAAGGCTGTTAGGGAAACTTTTTTTTTATTGTTTTATTATTCATATGTGCATACAAGGCTTGGGTCAATTTCTCCCCCATGCCCCCACTCCCTCCCTTACCACCCACTCCACCCCCTCCCTCTCCCCCCCACCCCCTCAATACCCAGCAGAAACTATTTTGCCCTTATCTCTAATTTTGTTGAAGAGAGAATATAAGCAATAATAGGAAGGAACAAGTGTTTTTGCTGGTTGAGATAAGGATAGCTATACAGGGAGTTGACTCACATTAATTTCCTATGCGTGTGTGTTACCTTCTCGGTTAATTCTTTTTAATCTAACCTTTTCTGTAGTTCCTGGTCCCTTTTCCTATTGGCCTCAGTTGCTTTTAAGGTAACTGCTTTACTTTCTCTGCGTTAAGGGCAACAAATACAAGCTAATTTTTTAGGTGTCTTACCTATCCTCACCCCTCCCTTGTGTGCTCTCGCTTTTATCATGTGCTCAAAGTCCAATCCCCTTGTTGTGTCTGCCCTTGATCTAATGTCCGCATATGAGGGAGAACATACAATTTTTGGTCTTTTGGGCCAGGCTAACCTCACTCAGAATGATGTTCTCTAATTCCATCCATTTACTGGCGAATGATAACATTTCGTTCTTCTTCATGGCTGCATAGAATTCCATTGGGTATAGATACCACATTTTCTTAATCCACTCGTCAGTGGTGGGGCATCTTGGCTGTTTCCATGACTTGGCTATTGTGAATAGTGCCGCAATAAACATGGTGTGCAGGTGCCTGTGGAGTAACCTGTGTCACAGTCTTTTGGGTATATCCCCAAGAGTGGTATTGCTGGATCAAATGGTAGGTCAATGTTTAGTGTTTTAAGTAGCCTCCAAATTTTTTTCCAGAGTGGTTATACTAGTTTACATTCCCACCAACAGTGTAAGAGGGTTCCTTTTTCCCCGCATCCTCGCCAACACCTGTTGTTCGTGGTGTTGCTAATGATGGCTATTTTAACAGGGGTGAGGTGGAATCTTAGTGTGGTTTTAATTTGTATTTCCTTTATTGCTAGAGATGGTGAGCATTTTTTCATGTGTTTTTTGGCCATTTGAATTTCTTCTTTTGAGAAAGTTCTGTTTAGTTCACTTGCCCATTTCTTTATTGGTTCATTAGTTTTGGGAGAATTTAGTTTTTTAAGTTCCCTATGTATTCTGGTTATCAGTCCTTTGTCTGATGTATAGTTGGCAAATATTTTCTCCCACTCTGTGGGTGTTCTCTTCAGTTTAGAGACCATTTCTTTTGATGAACAGAAGCTTTTTAGCTTTATGAGGTCCCATTTATCTATGCTATCTCAGTTGCTATGCTGCTGGGGTTTCGTTGAGAAAGTTCTTACCTACACCTACTAACTCCAGAGTAGCTCCTACTCTTTCCTGTATCAACTTTAGATTAGGGAAACTTCTGTTGGCTCTACAACACTTAAGCCCACTGATCAATCTTAGAATTACCAAGAGATACAATTAGCCATTTTTGTGATACAATACGACATTCACACAGAAAGTAAACTATTTCTGCCACCTTACCCTGGCCCCCAAAACCAAACTTGAATTGCTTCAGATTCTAGATCTAGTTAACAGTTTACAGGAAACCCAGTTTAAAAAAAAAATCACAAACAACATGAGTGAGGATGCATGTGGCAGAATCTAAAGTGTAGGAAATTCCACAGAGCTAATGACCTCAATCTTCAACAAATAGATGGCAGGGAAAAAAAAAACCAAAAAACAAAGAAAAGGAGATGGAGAAAGAAAGGAGGAGGAAGAGGAGAAGGAAAAAGGAAGAGGTGATAACTATTGCAAACTAAGGGACTTTGGATGTTTCAAACAGTTTGTACAAACATATTTATAAGACCATTAGTGAAGATGAAAACTAATTTGTTTTACTGCAGAACTGAATTTTTAAAATGTATAATAATAGTATTGCAGTTGCACTTTGTTGGTATTGTTCATTTGTCCTTAAGAAATCTTTGTCCTGAGTTTTTAATAGATAAAATGATACAATCTCCGGCTTTAAAATGATTGCTTTAAAATGATTTGGTACTTGGGAGGCTGGGGAATGTATATGAAAGGAGACAGGCTGAATGTTGGTAACTGTTATAAGGATGCATGATGGGAACATGAGAGTCCTCCACTATTCCTTCTTCACTTGTGTATATTTGAAAATAGCACAAATGAAAAAAAGAATTAAAAATGGGGGGAATTAACTTTGTAAATACTTTGAAGGGACTACAATTTGCTTTTGTGCTGGGGATTTAAATTTCCTGCTGAAGCAGTTAGATAGCAGCTATAAAAGCTTTACATCCTTTGGAACAGTTCATGAATAAAACATTTTGCTTACCTCCACCAATTTGGAAGCTAGGTACATGGAAATTGTGGTGCTTTTATAAAACATCATTGATATGCCTGCCAAAAATCCTGAAACAACAAATAAGGAAAAACTGATCAGCTTGCAAATCATTTCTTTATCGATAAGTCATCAGAAATGTGAGTCACTTAAATAAACAGGAAAGAATTCACTGTAGCACTCCCTCTGCTTACAACCAGTCATGGACTCAGTTCTCTGTAACCCATATTTAAGATTAAAAATTGAAATTTAGAGTTAGATGCAGTTGTGAGTTATGGATAACAAGAAACTTTAATTTTTAAAAATAGCAGTGGTCTTGCAAAGAAGAATTTTTAAAACTAAATGTTAAAGGATGGTGAGACCATTCCTGGCTTGGGAGGGAATATCTATCCATGCAGCTTCCCGACAGCCACAGGGTTCTCAGGGCTCTCATCGTACTTCTTGCCAAGCATTATGTTCTATCTGCAAATGGAAAACAAAGAGGGGGCTGGCATAGCAACAGTGGGATTATTGCTAATAAATCTCTGACAAGTGACCTATTTAACTCAAGTGGCACACATATTGCACTTTAAAAAACAATCTTTGGTTTTATTTCATTTTAGTATCTTTCTTGGCAGCACTGGGGTTTGAATTTAGAGCCTCACAGGGCAGGGGCGCTCCCCCGGAAGCCACGCCTCCAGCCCTTTTGGCTTTATTTTTCAGACAGGGTCTTGTGTTCTTTTGCCTAGGTCAGCCTTGGACTGTGATCCTTCTACCTATGCCTTCTGCATAGCTAGGATTGCAGATGAGTGTCACCATGCCCACCTTGTTTGTTGAGATGGAGTCTCACTAACGTTTTGTCTGGGCTGGCTTCAAACTATGATCCTCCTAATCTCTGCCTCCTGAGTAGCCCAGCTCTTTTATTTTTATAAAAAATGGTTAAGCTCCTTTTAAAAATTATTTAAGTATGTCTTTCCAGTGGTAAAAGCAGAATTTTAAAGGAAATTTACTTGAACTTTTATTAATTACTTATATAATTTTTCAAGTTTTTATGCTCTTTTGTGACACATTCTCTAAGATTTCTGTCCTGTGGCATAGAAGATACCATAGTCATTACACTGCCAACTCAAAACACCAAATGGCTCAATACCTTGACTTTGCAGAGGAACTATTTGGGCAAGGGCCTCAGTTGCAATAAAGACAGAGGTACACAGAAATCAGAAGGACTTGGAAGGCATTTCCTATCCATTCTAACTACCAGTTGATACAACAATAATTGTTCTTTGTTATTACTGTTTTACCAGCAATAATAGCATGCAGTTCATCATCTAGGTTTCTGATCCAGCGCAAGAAGCAACTCGTACCCTGTATTAAGGAGAGAATACAATGACCTCAGTTGTTTTATTTCTAGAGGAAATGCATGAAAACAAAACTACTGTAATAATGACCTTGGAGACAAACTGGTAATCCTACATAGATCAGACTGAAAATACATGATTGGGAAATTTAGGCACAAAAATAAATTAAAGCACAAAAGATGGGAAGGAAGACTTAGATACAGTGTTGGAAGGTTTTTATACTGTATGTGAATGGTTTACTATGATTCAAAGATTGGCTGATAAATTAAAGATATATGTTCCAAATACGAAGGCAAAAGAAAGATTAATAATGGGCTGATAGTGAAGATAAAATGGAGCCATAAAAAAATTACAACCAATCCAGAAGAAGTCAGAAAAAGGCAAAAGACAAACAAGGAAAACAGTGGAGCCAATACAAAACTACTAGGAAGAAGGGAGATCCAAGCTCATCAATATCTCATAAGTACATGAAATGTAACATACTAATTAAAAGACAGAGATTATGGATTAGATAAAAACAAAGGAAGTACTAACTTTGCAGTTTAAAATGAGGATAGAATGATTAAAGTCAAAGAATAGAAACATGCCTACAGGTCAACCATAATTAACACACTTTATAATTTTGAATCTGTATTCAGATTTAGAATGTTATATATTCAATAAAATATGTCAGCAATATGATCAGCATATTAGTGATCTCATTAGACAAAAGACCATTACCTAAAGCTATGGAGTACTTTACAGATGTGTTTAAGTGGGAGCTTAGGTATATGTGCGCAAATTTATCAGGGCATACAGAGGATATAAAAGAATTTTATTCGAGATGGTATAACAGGAATAGTGAGTAGATAAGGGAGTGAAAATCAGTCATTGCTTATATAAGCTACAATACCAAGTATTTTTTAATTTAATCAAGTATTATATCAGCAAGAAGGGTCTGAAATATGTTTAAACTAGTAACTGGGCAATGAATACAATAAAGAAAAAACAGACCCAGTGTATTATCATTCATGCACTGGAAATAGCAGAAAATTCATATTTTCTTAGTATCTATTAATTGAAAAATAAAAAATGAGTCCTTAAGATCTTTAATATTATATGCAAATGCGATATGCTGAAACATTCAAGCATGTTAAACAACGTCCTTAAGGAAGAAATTTCTCAAGTCTGAATCCTCAATGTATCTTGCATATATTTGGTGATGTCAAGATAGTTATGAATATTCCAAAAAGAAACAATAAATGCAATGATAGCTGAATTAAAGCCATCTTATTCTCACAACAGTCATGTTATTTATTTTTCATTTTTCTTTCCTCTTCTGGAAAGCTTACCTTGTATATACTAACAAAAGAGCCAAGAAAAGCTCCAAGCTGAAAGTTTTCTTTGTTGTAGAAGAGAGAAAGTAACCGAGATGGCTGTGTAAACAGATGCCTAAAGGCAGAGGGGATTCGGAGGCAGCATTGGATCAAGTATCCCACACTAAACATTCTGATGAAGCCCTAGAGAAAATTGGGAGAAAATTCTAATTTACAACCAAATTTTAGCTTCATACTATGAATTTTCCATCTCAGAGTCAAAGCAAAATTTGAAATTATTTCATACAAGATTATATCATAGTAGGTTGCAAAATAAATTCTTAAAACCTCAGTGATTTTAAAGCAATTACCTTAAAGAATAAGGGTGAAATCTTAGCTTGATTATACCTTCTTTGATTTATACTTGCCTATGCCCTAAAATTCCATTTCTTGACATTTTTTGTTGACAATAACCAGGATTTTTAATTCCTAAGCCACAAGTTTTAGAAACAAAACACTGAAATTCCAAAAAAACAAAAAAATTAACAAAACCAAATGCTTTTGGAAATTTTAACATAAAACTGACCTTAATCAGTAGTGCAAAAAGGGATTCTTTTGACAGAAAAATAATTTCATTATTTGTCTAGACCTTTGGTACCAAATTTCTAATGATCAGATTAAAAGAATTTACCAGGAAAAAATAATAGTATCTAAGTTTTTATTCCTGTACTCAATTGTCAGTCTAAAACATCTCTATAGAGGAGAGGTCATTTTGAGGTATATCAAACCAAATTGAAAATGTATTGCAATACTGGCCCCCCATCCTCCTCCTCTCACCACACTAGAATAGAATAATATCTGCACCCCTATCCTTGACTGACTGATGAGTTCTAAAAGTCAGGTTTGTATTTTCCAGATTGCAGCTTTTTTGTCTAGAAAGAAATGGATTACCATGAAGAAGTATTGGTTACTTTACCTAAAAATACCTAATACCTGGATAAAACATGGGGGGGGGTAATTAATTACTGTAAACTATCATGTATTTGCTTAACTGAAACCACCTCCTATTTGTTTCACGCATAAAATGGTCATGCTTTTATTTTGTCATTGTAATCCTGTAATATTAACCTAGGGATTTGGGGGCTCACAGTCATGTTACAATCTTCTCATGCTATTTTCAAAAGGCTAAAAAGTGATTTTTTAAATTATTCTTTCATGTACTCAGAAATGTTTGCTGAATGTCTGTTCATGTGCCAAGCATTACACTAGATCCTTGAGGCTACAGTGTGAAGAAGACACAAAATACTTGCTTTTTCATGCTCATTGAAAAAAAGTAAACAAATAAACAAATAATTTCAGATTATAATAAATGTTATGAAGGAAATAATCAGGGCATTAGAGTAACCTGAACTAGACTGAGTGGTAAAGAAAGGTTACTGAGGATGTGACATTTAAGTAGACCCCCAAACAGAAGAAGCCAGCATGAAAAAAAACATTTTAAACAGCTTGGACATATAGCACAAAGCCAGTAAAGTGGCCGGCAGGTAGCAGGAATCAACGAAGAGTTAGTGTTAACCAACAAAAAGTTAACAGTAAAGTAACTTGAAGAGAATAAAATTAATGTAAATATTTACTCACTGACATGACTTAACATGTGGTGTAATAATGAGGTGAACTGCCAAAAAATTTTAGCCTTTGCATTGTAAATTCTTTATTTACAGGCCTCCAAACAGTTTCACATTCATGATATAATACTCCAATTTAAACAAAAATTACCAAGTTTTTAATACAGTATAAAATGGCAAACATTGGAAAGAATCATTAGTTTTTTAATTATTTGATAATTCTCACTTGTTTTCTCCATCACTCCCCACACCCCAATTTCCCCAATACCTCTGATTCAATTAGAGTACTTCTCTTAGACCTCTCCTGAATCCTATGTCTAAACTATAATGATGAAAGGAATGGTAATTCAATCCCAGAATGGTAATTCTGGGATTGCCAGCAATGTTGACTTTTTACCTCCCACTTTAAAAGGGAGGCAGAAAACTAGATTTGGAAATTGTACATCAGGAACTCCTGGACATCTGAAAGAATACTCTACTGCTGGACATATTATTGGGGGTTCTGAAGGTTAAGTGTGGACTTGGGTGAATGCCACTGTCAACACTGGCACAGGCATTCACACCCACAGCACTTATGTGGGATGGTTCCTTCTGTCTACACAACCATAAGGAGACTGTCTCTGAGGTACTGTACAACTCAGCTCTTACCATCACCAACCGAGGGGAATGAGACCTTATAAGAAAACATTAAGGGTTAAAAGCATTGGTATCACTAAAGTACAATTCAAAACCAAGGGACCTGCAGCAGATGGTGCCACCTGTGCCAGACAAACTGCAGTGAAAACACTCTTCCCAGAGCTGGCGGTGATGGAAGAAGGATTCACAGCACAGGCAGTGAATATTGGGGTGAGGACAGTTTCATGCTATTACATTAAGTATATAAGAGAACAGGGAATTTATGCCAATGGGCACAGCTAACTTCCCTAATGAAGAACAACTGTGGATATGCTCCAGTTAGCTCAATGCCTTTAAAAAATGTAACAGATTTATAAGTCCAAAACCAAATCCACTGTACCAGACTGTACACAGTATGTCTCAGTTTGTATATACTATACATTGATCTGGCTGGCATATCACATAGTCCAAGGGCCTGTACTAGGATGTACTTCTAATAAGGAAGTATAAATTTTAAGGATGTTTTCTCTTTTGTTGTTCTCTCATTATCTCTCTTACGTCATAAGGCTTTTCTTTTTAACTTTGTTGTTGGTTTTTGTAGTACTAGGTTTTAAGCTCAGGCCCTCATGCTTGCTAGGCAGGCATTCTACTAACTTCATAAGTTTTACATAAGTTGATTTTTTAAAAACAGTGCTTGGAATCAAAGCCAAGGCCTCCAACATGCTAGGCAAGTGTGCTACCACTTGCCCAAGCCCAGCCCAAGATAATCTAATTTTTAAGCAGGATAATTTTTAAAATGTTTAAAGATCTGATTAAGTGAATATTAAAAGTCATAGTATTACCTAGTTCCATAAACTTCTTAATTTTCAAGTCAAATGCAAAGAATGAGAGCAATTTTTGTCAACTTTTCCATTTACTTGAAAGGTATTTCATAATAATTAAATTATATATGTAAATGCATATATATATGTATGTGTGTGTATATATATATATATATATATATATATATATATATATATTCTCCATTGTTAAGAAAGTAGATACTTTCACATACTTACTTTAATGCAGTAAGAGATACAATTATCTTCATAGTGTTTGCAACATCTATGCCTTGGTCCATGCTTGCATCTGAAATTAAACAGCAACAACAAAAAACCCCACTAAACTAATTATAATTATGTATGTATATGTGCGACCACATGCGTGTGCTTGTGTATTTGCAGATCTATTTCAAACTCTCTAAACAATAAAGGAGAAAAACATTACCATTTATTTCTAAATGTGTGTAACTTTTTTTCCTTAGGATATACAGAAACACAGATAACAGGTATTTTTTTTTTCCTTTGGGTTTACTATTTGATGTTGTACAAAATGTGTGACTGCAGTCAGAACACTTGGAATGTGGAAGAGAAAAGCCACACTGAGAAGTGTTTGTAACTAAATATGAAAAATACGTTATCTGTATACATTGCCAAATCTTTGGGAGCTTTACATCGCTTATGGCCATAAATTATCCGTGAAGCCAGGACTTGAGCAAAAATCATAATGAGAATGTGCTCAGGTTACAGGAATTTATACTTAATTATATTTGAAAGAAAACATCTGGAACAGAAACATGATATAGTATTAGAATTCAAAATTCAGTTTTTTAAATATAGAATTAGAAATCATGTAGGAATTTAAAAGTAGGCTATTTGTGATTTAACTATAGACCACTTAACCCTCTGGTCTTTAATATAAACATTCTTGCTGTGAGGACTACTGTTCAAGACATACTCATTTGAATCATTTGGTGCGGTAACTTCAGGACTATTTATTCACCCTTGGCATAAAAATGTAAGCAGACTATCTAACAGGGTTCTAGTTCTGTCCCTTTCTCTTTGAAGGGCTCATGTTCCAACATTAAGTAGTCCTTATGACTTCCTTCAGACTAGGATTATTTTCATGATTGGTGCACATACTCTTTCTTATTTTTAACAATAACTGCACAGCAGTGCTCCAGCTCTGCACCTTGCTGTGCTTATTTGGTAATTGATTAGCATGACATTTTCAGAAATATACTTTGCACTGCAGTTGGATCACACAGGCACCCTTTCCTAGTCACAGGTGACAGCAACAGTTCACACCAACCTACCCTTTATGTCATAAGAATGATAAGACAGATGTGGTCATGCGAAGATGCTGAGTTTACTACAGCTGGCAGCTTTGAAAGAGGTGAACCACAGCAGCATCACCTTAGGCAAAGCATCACTCTTCATACTTCCGAGTGTCCTCTTCAAAGACATTTCAGCCTTTCCTACCACAGCTACATAGGAATTATTAACTGGCTTCGCTAGTGAAGTTAAATGCCAGTATCAACTATTCTGTCATTTTATATTTCCTTCGTCACTCATTAAAATAGCTTTCCAAGTCCTACAATGCCAATCTCTTATATTATTTGCTTTATTTCTCAATTAATTTGCATCTGCTCCATCCCAGTGGACCCACTGTGGGTACTCTTAACATGTTAAAAGTTTCTGCTATGACCTGATCAGTTCTGAGACCAAAGCATCATTCACCCACATAATTCATTCTTTGTATTCTCTGTTATTTCCATTAATGGGGATCCTCTCTCCCTTTCTCCACTAAGGTAACCCATAACTATTTTTGAATTTGCTTAAATAACTTCACCACAATTATTCCTGCCATCTACTATTCCTTTTCTGTTTACTCCACTTCTGTGTGCTGTGTATGCTAAAATGAAGGCAAAAATCTTTAAATTCAAAGTCCCCACTCTCCATTCCTACATTATATTAGTCAACTTCATGTGTTATTTAGTTAATGCTCACAGTAATCATTCATAAAGATTATTAACCCCAGTAAACAGATAAGGACTTTGAGATGCATACTCATCCAAAGTCACAAAGCTGGTTGAGGCAAAATAAGATTGAAAGATACCATTTCTAATTTCTTAAAGGGCTTCACCTTCCTATAATTCATTCTGTCCTCTCTAAAATATCACTACCATGATTACTTTTATTGGCTGATATCCTAATTTTAAAGCATTAAATTTATTTCATTAAATCTCTACACTGGAATTATAAATGAATGCAAGAAATATAAGCATTTCATTCTTTGTGTAACACACAAAGACTTCTTTTTTCAGTCTGAGAGTCCTAAAACTGTCACTGTTACACAATATCCTTTACTGGAGACTTGCTTCTTATTATTCCTGCATCTTCCTGAATCACTCTCTGGAACTCTTCTTTCCATAGTTAGCATGTCCAATTAGCACTGGCTAATCTATTTCCTGAATCTGTTTCCATCATCACCTCCTGTAACTCTGCTGTCTAAAACAGAAAAGTATTGTAATTTAATGAAAATCTATTTTAGAGGTATGTGATAGTGTACCTTCCCATGAGAAAGAACAAATAACATCCATGGTGCCATCATATGCCTTTTATAAAATTCTATGTATAGATTTTGGTTAAAAAAAAAGGAACATTGTTATTTGAGTAGAAAAAAAATGCCTTCCCTTAGTACCCTTAGTAAAGATATCATATAAAACTGTGACAAAGTATGCCAAAATATCAAGATAAAGAACTCACATTGAATCCACAAGTTTCTTAACTAGAGTAATTATGTTCATTCTTCTTGGTTTTTCCTCATGTTCCTCTATCCTTTGTTCCACTTTTGCATATGCTGCCTCTGGTGAATAAGAATGTGTGGGAATTTCTTCCTTCCCTACAATGAACCTAAAGAAAAGAGCACAATGTGAGGCATTTTTTCATCTAAAAGGAAAAAAATAAAAAGAAAAATTGTTTATATACAAATATAGTTTAGAGACTCTTATTTTTTAAAATATTTTCACTATTTATATAAAATCTAATTATCCTTTGAAGAAAAACAGACTTTAAAAATCTGAATACTCAGAAACTTTTAATAGTAACTAGTTTGGCATGCAGGTATTTTTAAATCAAATTAATCAAGTAAAATACAGCACAGTGGTTTTATGAAGTAATCATTAACTTAGGGCACCAGTTTTTCAGACATTGCATGCCTTAAAGATTTTCAATTTAGGTCTACTGGTCAACCACAAAAATTTAATGGTTTTACTAAATGCTGGTAACAGTTACAATTAAATTAGCTTCTCACTTAAAATAAAACTAAATTCATACCTAATATCATTTTGAGTCATAAACAGCTGCAGTACAGTAGAAAGTCATTTGTAAAGGAAATGACTTCAGTTCCCTAGGAAAATAGAGGTAACTAAAGAATGAGAATAAAATATAGTCAAGATGCCACCTATCTTCGTACTATTTCATTAAAAATGCCTAAACTCCATGTTATTTCAATCTACTTATTTTATCTGGAAAAATCAAACACCCAGATAATACCATTCCTATTTCATCAAAACTGAACAATATTTTCCACAGAAAAATGCAACAGTTTTCATTATTACTACCATTAGCTATCACTCACAAAGTATCCTTTCTCAGAGTTTTCATTATTGCATCTGCATTACAAAAAGTCATTGCTCTTCATAAAGAATGAGTCAAATGGGGAGATAACAGGAGATAAATATGATCAAAGTACATAATATTTATGTGTGAGAATAGCACAATGAAACCCACTAAACACTGCTGAAAAGAGGGGAAAAAGAGGAAAAGGGTTAAGAAAGAGTAATAGAAGAGTGAATTTGATCAGAGTACATTATATGCGTATATGTAAATATCACAGTGAAACCCTCTTTTGTATAATTAATTTATGCAGAAAAAAAAGAACACGCTTTCCTAAGGAAATTATACCTCCTAAACTTTCAAAAAAAAATGTAACGAAATATGGATAAAACAGAGGATCAATAATACTACACTAAAATTCTGGGGGCTGAGGTCTGTCACAAACAAAATATGAAAATTCGAGCACCCAGAAAAGAAAGAAAAAGTTGTTGCTATTAAGAGCAACCTATCCTGTTCAGGCAAACTAGTAGCATAGCAAGTCAACAAGGAGTGAGCAAAGGGTTTGTTTGCCATCATATGTCAGCTATGAACATGGGGGCTGTTAGTCCAAAATAACTTGGTTTTGTTACTCTTGGCTGTGCATGCAGACTGGAGGATCTTTACTCCGTTCTTTATAAGCAAAAAGGACAAAACTAAAATAAATGCAAAGCATCTCTTACCGCTTTCATAATTCTGTTGCTCTTTTGGGCAGCTCTGACTATCTCAGATGAGAGGTCACTTCAGCTTTCTGGGGAAGCTATCACTGCCTCAGGCAGGGTGAGTTTGTGATCTTTCTCTGTGTTCTGTAAGCACCAAGTTAGCAGTCTGTATCCCCCACTAAACAGTGGGGACTGCCAGTCCATATATGTTTTCTTTGCTATTATATGCCAGTGTCAGGCATAGTGTCTGGCATGTAGTAAATATTAAATATACATTGAATGAATGAAATTAGAAATAGCATTTTCTGAGACTTGGTTAGCACAGTGCTAACCAAGTCTTTTACAAATACTAAATCATTTAATACTCACAGCAGTATTATAGGTATCATAGTCCCCACACAAGTTGGCTTGAATTAGTACCTTGTCCACGGGCAATAAATTATCAGTAATTATTTGAACACAAAATTACTGAATTCAAAGTCTGTCCTCTTAATCATGGGGTGATGTACACTTCTAACTGTTTTAAACTATGGTTAATCAAGGCTTAGTGCACCTTCAGACACCTGTACTGGCTCTTCTGTCCTTGACTCTTTGTATCTAGTCCAGTAATTTTCACTATTATCTTCACAGATACATAACTTCTAAGTCATGCTACACACAATATCCAGAGGAAGCTTCCTAAAAGGCAGATCTGAACTTGTTCTTTTCATCCTCCAAAACTTCATTGGCTTATCATCTACTGAATTATATATAAGCTTTAAGTTCAAAACTAGATATTCACTGAGTATCTAGGACAGAGTGAGTGCTTACTTACATGAACTGAATTCACACACTATAATCAACTGGACTTCAAGCCACTCTCCAAGTAAACCAATGCCTTAGTGCTGCTCTTCTTATCTGAACTATTCTTCCCTGTATCTTTGCTAAAATCTCACTTGCTCTTAAAATCCATCTTAAATGCGCCTTCCTTCCACGCTCTTCTGCCCATCCCCTAATCAAAGAAAACAAAAGTCATCTGTGAATTGTATCATACTTAATTTATTTTCTCCTACATCATTTGAGATTTTCTGTTCTTTATGTAATTTTGTACAATTTTCTTGCTTTCTTCTTGGCTTTTATTCTCAGCCACAATTTGGAGACAGGCAATAAGTTAGGTCTGCCTAAAATATATTCCTGGGATAACCTCCACTTCTCTTTGGTAACATTCAACACGATTGTAATTAATATTGCCTTCCCCATCAGACCATACATTCTGAGAACAGATACTGTACATGACACATTCACCGGTGTATTCTCAATACATAGTACAAGTCCAGGGACAAAGTAAAAGTATAATGAAATAAATACTGAATGAATGTTATCTTTGTAGCCTAGATACTATCTTATACATGAGCAGTCTCAACTGTATCAGGCACTGAATATCTGAATATCTTTTCTTCATCAAAGTTTAATATAATACTGTCAGGATGTCGTATTAAGTTTGGCCACAACAAGCATTTTTCTTTTCTGTCTTTTGTAATTAATATTAAATGTTGTGTTTGTTACATGCTATAAATTTAAAGCATATGTCTGCCATAAAAATCAGGACAGCCAAGAATGCAAATAGATAAAGTCTGAAAAACATGTCAGATGATACTTTTGGAAGGTTAAAAGAATGACATATATAAACCCTATAGTCTTTGACAATGAAAACTTGACAATAAAAAGTAAATTTGGCTGTTAGTACTATTCTTCTGAGTATCAACTTTAAATCTCTGAGAGTAATCAATTTGCAATGTGAGGAACCTAAAATGAAATCAAATCTGTTCAGTGCAAATAGATGTACAAAATAAAAACATAACACTAACAATTTTCTTCAACAAGAGTACTCACGAGAATAAACTTTTTTCCCTAAATATTCTCCTATAACACAATGCAAGTATCCCAAACAAACCCTTTATTGCAAGTGGATTTGAAGAAGAGATACAAAAATATCTGATACACTTTGAGTTTTTTGCAAAGATTTTTGAGAGTCAGAAAAGCAAGGCATAACTTTTTGTTTAAGAAAATCATCCTTTGGTATTATCAACTTTCCATTAAAACAGTATACTTTGTAGCCAATTTAAGAATGATATAAAAAACGGTTTTTTTGTCATAAATTTCATGATGTTTTAATGAAAAATGTAAGGTAAATTCCATTGTGCATTGTGACTTAGAAAGTTTTTGTTACTACAGAGTTTCTACAACTAAAGTGTTTGTTTTCTGTTTTTTTGTTTGTTTGCAGTGTTGAGGACTGAACCCAATGCCTTGCTCCACCACTGGGCTGTATCTCTAGCCCTGAACACATTCATAATCACACAGTGGGCTCTGTTTCTTCCCTCCCAAACCAATTTCTTTGCATGGCATCTGATTTTCTGATAACCACCTTGTATTAGGTGCTTAGGTTTTCAATACTTGAGGGGATTGAGAAGTAGAGGGCAAGAAGAAGAAGGAAAATATCAGTCACTAGGTCTTCATTTTCTTCCCCATTGTCTTATCTTTGTCTTTTTCTCTAATCCTCTCACTATCATCTGAATCCCAGTCCTTATTATTTTGTCTCTCAAACTCTGGTCCTGTCTTTTTCAGTATCCTAAATACAACAGTCAAATTAATCTTTTTGGAAACATTGTCATCTTTGTCTTTCCAAGCTCCTTGAAGAGGGTTGTTAGCTTTCATTTCAAACACCCTATAGTATTTGAAAGCACACAACAGGCCCCCAAAATATAAGTGGATTGATTATTAGGGAGAAAAATATTGAATAAATTACTCTTCTAATAAACTAGCCACAAAGGCCTGGAAATACTATTGTGACTTCAAAATTGTTATCAGTTAAAAATTGAGTTCATAAATATTTATTGTACTTATACATAATATTCACTGTTTTGTGTTAACTCATAAATTTTCTCTCAACATAAAAGTAAATAAGATGTTACTTACCTAAGTGCAGAAAATGTAAATCCTTTCAAACCATCTTTGCACCTAAAACAAAAATCATAAAATAACATGTTTTGAAATATAAAGTAGCATATTATATAGCTATTTTTTTCCAATACTGATTTTTTTAAGGTGACACTCTTTTAGGCAATTATCTAAGCCCTACACGTGATCAAAGAGGCAACAAGCAATGAAGTAAGTCACCTTACACAAAATGATTAATATGGTAATGCTTCCCTTGGTCATATTAACACACCCTAGGGCTCAATTCTCAGATCTGCTGGTTGAAGAGACTTGTGTTTAGCTTCTAAGAGCCCTAACTGGATTTAATAAGAGCTGGGAGTGCAGAATTCTTCATTCTATTCAGTCCCTGTAGGAGTAATTTGCTTTGAAGAAAAAGGCTACATACACTTGCTAGGTATTTCATATAAGTAAATTTGAGGTCACAACTTCTCTTTTCTTATTAACTCAGTGAATACAAAGCAACACAGATTTGGCAAGGACAAAAGGCTTCATGTACAGCTCAACAGTTTTACCTTTTTACAGTCAACCAGAATGGCTAACATTGAATGGGAAACAAGGTCTGGGTGTGGTTAGAACACAAAGAAAGTTTCCAAATCTGAATAGTATTTATTGAGTACTAACTATTGCTGGGCATGACTTGGGGCCCTTTATGTGTGTTCTCTGACTAGCAAAATCTCTTGGAGAAATCTATAAAGACTGGTGATATAAAAATGTTCTAATTTTGTCAATATTAGCACTTGGATAAAAAGTACAGATCGGGTGGGTGTGGCAGCTCCCACCTACAATCCCAGTTACACAGGAGGCATAAGGAAGAGGATCTTGATCTAGGATGGACAGAGCAAAAAAAAAAAATGGGAGACCCTACCTGAAAAATAACTAAAGCAAAAATGGTTGGAGGCATGGGTTAGGTAATAGAGCACCTTTAGTTCAAACCCCAGTACTGCCAAAATAAAAAATACATCCTCAAATATAATTAGATAACTCTTTCTGCATGTCTTTTGTACACAAAGTCACAAAGAAAATGCACAAGATAAATCTATATTAACTTTTGTTGTTGGTGATACAGAATCTCAGAAAAAATTTAATCCATGCACAGAGATGTTTTAAACACTTGAGACTCCATTTCATTAAGTAACATGACCTACTTTGTGATCATGTTAACGGTGAGAAATGTAACCACACAATTTAGGTAAAGAACAACATAATTACCTACCCTATGCAGACTGGGAACAAAGTCAAAAGAATTTATATGTTTCTTTTTATGTTTATACTCACTATATTCCTTTTTAAAAAAATTATTGTTGTAGTGGGGGTACACTGACCCTTACAAAAGTTTTTATAATATATCATAGTAGAATTTACTACCTCCCCCCATTCCTGGAATAGTTTCAACAGGTCTCATTTTTCCATTTTCATACACGAGTATGTAATATTTCCACCATAAAAAGAATTCATATGCTAAACTAAAAATGTGCATAGGCAAATTATAGAATTAAAATTCTTAAATTTATCTTTTCTCCATCTGAAGAAAGTGTTTTACGGTAATTCAAAACCCATAATCTTGATAGGTGGAGCAGTGAGGAGTAGGCTGGGGACTTACTGACTGGAAAAAAGAAAGCAGTACATCAATTAAAATATTATGTACATCTGGGAACAAATTTTGGTTTTGGTATGTTATTGTTAAAAGATAGCCATTTATCTTTGTGCAAAATTGAATAGATAAAAGATTCTGACAAGTTGGTCTAGTCAACATTGCATATTTGTGACCCTGAACAATAAATTTAATTGTAGACCAAAACATCAAAAAGTAGCTTTAAAGTATAAAAGGAGCATATCCAGATGGATTTGCAATTTCATTATGAGGGAAGCTTGGTTCTTTCAGCAGAACCCTGCGGGAAGCACTTCATATTGATAAAGTCTTCACACGGATTCAAAAGAGGCTATTCTTCCCTCCATCCATGTGTATAAGGTTTGTTAATGCAATTGAGGGTCAGATGTCTATGTCAAAAGAACAAAAAAGTAATTATTCCCATAAAAAAGAATCTTTAAAACACTCATGTGGCCCTACATCTTGACATCAAGAGTATTGTCTGAACATTAACCTAACTATGAAACACTATTATAATTGGTATTAAATGTAGAAGACATGATATAAAGATTTAAGTAAAGCAGACCACAGAAGTTTCCTCATACTTTTATGGATTTGATTATTATAATGTAAATCAAATCACATTCTCCACTTAAGTATTAATGCTCACTGACTTATTAAACAGATATTGAGTAAGTACCTATGTATAAGTACTGTTCTAAGTATGAAACAGTGAACAACAGTGCAGCCTGCTTTCATACACCTGACATTCTAGTTGGGGAGAGATACAATTTCTTAAAAAGTCATATCATGATAATTGCATTAACTGCATAAAGGTGCAAGATTTGGGGTGGGGGGCAGTGATAGAGTCGAACTTCCTTGTGTTACATAGTGTGACCAAAAAGGGTCTAAGAAGGTGAAATTTGGTACTCTGAAGAGAAACTTAAATGAATTGAGGGAAGGCATTTCAGTTTGAAGCAAAAGCAAGTACAAAACCCAGCTGAGACTCTGTACAGCAAGTTAAGAACAACAAGGAGATTCCATAACTAGAGCAGAACAGGCCAGGGATGTAGTGGTGAGAAATCAAATTATAGTAGTAGGGTGGAGGAAGGGCCCTTTAGGTGTGGCAAGGACAGAAGAGTGAGGAGATCTTTATTAAACTTACAGAGAACTGCTTTGACTGTGGGGTGAAAAACAGACTACAAGAGGACATAGTTAGAGACAAGGCCAGTTAGCATGGGAAAGTTAGCTGTGGTCAGAGTGGGAGAGAAGGATAAGAATCTTAATGTATTTCAAATGTCAAAATTTCAGTCAGAATTTCTTGATGCTTTGAATGTGGGGTAAAAGAGAATTTACAAATTATTAAGATATCTTTGGTTTGAGCAAAGAGAAGAAGAAAATGAAGTGAAAGATAATGTGCAAAGAACAGATTCAAGGAGAAAATAAAATTTGTTTTAGACATGTTCAGTTTGGGATGTGTTAGTTCATTAAATGTAATTAAGTGGAAATGCAAGGGATATAATCAGCTGGCTCTACAGGCCTAGGGACCAAGGAAGAGGATTAATTCATTTATATGCAGTGCTTACATACCCATAAGACTAGAGGCAATCATACAAGAAGTAAGTATAGATAAAGAAAACAGGCAAGGACTGAATATATTTTATTCCTCTATAATCTATAATGAAAACAAGTCACTTCTATAAAAGAAAAACAAAACTCTATTACTAATAAAATTGCCCTCCAATGAAAGTCTTTTATTTTCAAGTGGCCATAAAGATATTACAGTTAACTCATTTATACATTGGCTTTCTATTTGGTCTATGCAAGTAACATAAGTACTATAATTAAATTTACATTTACTGAACCTCTAGTTTTCCAAGGTTTTGGACTACGGTAAAGTATAATATAAAACAGAGCTAGAAAAGCCAAGAAGGAAAAGGAAGTTGCAGAATTGCATCAAATAATTTAGTCAATACACAACTGACTACAGAGGTTCAGGTTGGAATTACAAACCTTGTATAAGACATTATAAAGAAGATTAATGTTATCATAGTTGGAATAAAATTCTTTGTCAAATGTCAAAATCTTGAATTAGAAGTGTAAATGACAGTAAAAAAAAAGTTCTACCCACAACATTTTTCCTCCGATGCTTAATTTTCATGAAATTATTCCATGGGATACTACTATCATTTTCATTACAACACTCTACCAGCAGATGTCACTAGAAAACCATTCTTGGAAATATTTGTAGCTCTGATGTGACCTGTATTTTTTCATTTTTTGCAGGTTTTCCCCTAAATGTGTATTTATAGAGATTCAAAAATGTTAATAATCTTAAATTACATTGAGTTTCAAGGAAATATTGTGATATTAGACTTATAATGATGGTTGATGTTCCTGTTCCTCAGACTACTATTTCATTCAGTTACAAAATGTTTACAAATACCCTACTGGGTGGCTGCATCATGAATGGTAAGGTACTGTAAATGTGCTGCTCCATTATATGTTCTCTAATGAGCTGAAAACAATGAGAACAAACTAACTGGATTCCTAAAATAATTTCTGTCTACTCAGTTTTCATTCTTTTGGTAAATATAATGGATATAAAATACATACTTTATAAATCTCATGTAAAACACTTCTATAGAGATAATGCATGGTATAGTGGAAAGAATCTGGGTATTGACTAAGGATACAGATATGAGTCATAACTTCTCCACCAACTTTGAAAAAATCACTTAACCTTACTTAGGACTCGATTTCTTTGTCTATTAGAAAAGACAGGCATTACAATTGGCTGATTTAATGTCTTCTAATTCTGAAATTTCTCATTTCATTTAATGTTAGTTTCATTATTAAGCTCATAATTGGAAAAGGATGAATTCTATGAAATTACTTATGATATTTTTTAAAAGTAGAAGATCTCCCTAGCAGTAAGTATAAAAAACAAAAATACACAAATACAAATTCTGAATGTGTTTTGAGATTACTGGTTGTTACTAGAATTGTTATACTTGCTTAACATTGTATAATTTTTCAGGTCTGCGAAGGTTCAAAAGAGAGCCTTTTCTTTTTTAAGATTAAAGTACCAACTACTGAGATGCTAAAAAAAAGACCTGTAAGAAACACTGTTAACGAAACAAAGCAGTTCTGTGTATGATCACTAATGGTAAAATATTACATTACTGCTATATTTAGTATAAATGCTTAGATATTAATATTATTAATGGTAAAACATAAAATATTGCCTATATAAACGTGATGTTGTAGATAGTGCTCTTAAAGACTATATAACCAATGCTGTATCATTTTGAATTTTTACAAGCACACATTTGCATATGATTGTGTAAACTGTTTAATTTTAAAAAACCAATTCTTGAACATTTAGGAACAGATTAAAAAGATGTAAGAATTGTTCATCTTTTTTTTTAAC